TTTATAGTTTACCAATAAAATTCATAAAATAAAGTGGAAAATCAACAAAAAATTGTGTTTCGGTTTAAGACTCAAAACGACTTTTTAGTGGAGACTGTGAAAGTCAATAGTGCAGAAAATGATTTAAGAAGAGGAGGAGGAATGTCGAAAAAGCGAAAGACAATTTAAAAAGCGAAAGGCAAAGGTCGAACCACAAAAAAGTCGAGAATTTGGCGAAAGACGAAACGCGAAACGGCACACCCACGGGGCAGGAGTTTAACTTAGTTAATAATTCTCAAATCCCGGACGTCACAGAATTGGTTTGAACTATCTCAATGAGCTAAATTATTCGTGTTTCAGAAATAATTTAACTAAGAGTTATACCCCGAGATGCAATAGGGCTCGAAACGTAGTGGAGGAGGAGAAAAGAGGGAGGAGCTCAGCTAATCAATCGGTAGGGGAAGTGTTTAGCCAAGCTCTAATTTGAGGCGTGAACTGAAGCGCCCAAAAAACAACTAGGCTGGAACTAAAAAAAAATTAACGAAAAAGCGTTGTTGGTGGTCTAATTTAGAAAGTATGTATCCTAATTTTCTTTTCGGTGATTGACCAAAAGCATCTAAAAAATACTAGTTAAAAAAGTACAGAAAAGAAGCACTTTTAAAAGCGCGCATTCAAGTAGTTAAAGGAAGAAAATAAATCAGAAAAAAAAAGAAAATTTGTGAATAGAAAAAATAAATGTAAAAATAAAGGGCTCAAAAATGAGGAGAGAGATGATCCGCCCGAAAATTTTCTAAAAATAGTTTAATATTTTTTTGTACCACAAAGGAATAAAAAAAAAGAATGGTCTTTTGTGGAACCGGAATTGGTAGCAAAAAATGAGAAAAATAAATAAAAATTATTTTTTAATATTTGATTACTAAGTGAGTAAATTTGGTAGAAAAGGTAGGAAAAAATAAATATTTTTTGTTAATTTTTGAATTATTAAAAATATATTTTCTCCAAGGGAGAGGTATAGAAGAAGCTTAGTTAACCAGTCGATCTCTACAGCGATTTACTAAGCTCCTCTATTTTTTAATGAGGAAATTCGTCAATTTCTAGTTTTTACCTAAATTTTTTACTTTTGTGCCCTTGGTGCTAAAAAATCGGCCTTATAATGAAGTCAAACATAGTGGCATAGCTTAGGCAGCACCCATCAACCAATACTAAAGCTTGATTCAAATCGAGATATATGTAGAAGCTTAGTTAATCAATCAGTCATCACAACGATTTACCAAGCTCCTCATTTTTTAATTTTTTTTAAATTTTCGTTTGTTGTATGGTCTTGGGTGTGGGGTGTAGAGTGTCTTAAACTGATCGGTGTCTAAAATTGATGTCTTAGGGCATTTAAATGATAAGGTCTCTAGATAGGGATAGAGGCACTACAAAGGGAGGCACCTGTATTATTAAATTTTTAAAAATCAATTAAAATATTTAAAAATGTAAAGTATTTATTTAATTATAAAATTTCGTTTGTTGTATTGTAAAAGCTCAGAATTGAATAGAAAAATAAAAAAGGATGAAAGAAAAACGGAAAATAAACACAATGTACAAAACTGATCGGCGCCGGCTGGTGCTAGGCTAACAGAAAAATCGAGCACTCTCTGGTCAGCCGTTTAACAAAGAGGGCAGACATTTTACAAGGTATATAATATTTAAAATTTATAAAATATAACAATGGAAATGAATAAAAAATAAAAAGGATTTATTTTAAAAAATTAAAAACGAGGAGCTTAGCAAGTCGAGGGGATGGGGGACTAGTTTGCTAAGCTTATTTCTATATCTCTCGATTGGATGGAAATATTTAAATGGAATTGGTACTGATGGATAAAGAAAAAATTTAGTAGAAAAATAAATAATCGTAAATGTTCTAATAGACGCCCTAGGCATTTATTTTTCAATGTGCCTTATTTTGATAGGCATGGGCCTTTATTGGAGAGGGGCTTCTATTAGAACGTTTAGGGTATAATGAAGTTTATTGACTGGATAAAGATATTACAGGATTATTTCAACTCGTATCAAATAAATTATTTTTGGAGACTCAAACGTATAAAAACGCATGCAAGATAAAAAGAGAAATGAAAAAATAGGAAGGAGAATGTATAAAATTAAATTTTATGTCTATCATCTTCTCCATATAAAATATTTTTAGTTAGTAAGCTACAAGAGTATTCATTAACGTTAAAGATTTGCGGCATTCCCTTTGTGGAACTGGGTAGGTTAACTACTCTGGAATTTTTGGAGCGGGGAGGATCCGGAGCCTCCCTTTAATCTCTTGGATTTTTTAAATTTTTAAATATTTTTTGGAAATGAAAAAATTGAGGAGCTTAGCTAGTAACCGTGAAGGGAAACTGCTCAGCAAAGCTTCTATATTTCTCGCTCTGTTGGAGACGAATAACTCTTTCTAATTTTTCATTGAGAAGACTCTAATGTATAATTTTTATTATTGTTGTGTAGTAAAGTAGAAAGGAGAGAAAAATACAACTGAGAATGTGCATTAGTTAATTCTCCATCTATGTCTAGCAAACACTACCAATAAAATTATTTCCTAAAATATTGCTCAAGACAAGGGATAACCAGCAGTGGCAAACCCCTTAAACCTTTAGGTTTTGAATTTTTGGAACGGGGAGAGTTCCGGGTCTCCCTTCTAAAGTGTTGAATATTAGAGTAATAATGTTCAGTAATCAGAAATTTCAAGTTAATTTTGCCAATTTACTATATGAGTTATACAATCTGTCAAGTTCATTCTCCATTTATTAAACTCTCCTTACAATACTCTTTTTATAGTGAATCCGTTTAATGTCACAATAAGATATATTTCAAAATAATTCAAGATACAACAGTGTATGGATAAAAATATAGGATTCTGCAGTTTTTGTCCTTCATCCTTGCCGTATTTTCGTCTTTCTTGTTGTTCCGTCTAACAAATTCTAAAAGCAATTCGGCATAACCTTTATATACATATGTTCAATCCTTCCGTGTTGAACGAGATATTGATCATAGCTGAACAAAGACTTTAACCGAACACATCAGAGACAATTGAAATTTAAGGGAGGATCGCCCCTCCCCAACCCAAAAAATGGAAAAATATGGATCACAAAATATGGACGAAAATATGGATTTTCGCATATGGACATTTAGATGTAATCCCGGTGAATAAATAAATAATTTAATAAAAGTATGCTCGATAGTTTATAATTCGAGGGCAGAGATAGAGTTAAACTGGATGTGTTCTCTCTTCTTTTATTTTTCTCTTTTCACTTATAAATTTCCTTCTCATGGATATTTAAAATTAGGTGGAATAAGAGTCTCACGCAGTTTATCAATCTACTTTTCCCTTAAGAGTCAACGTTTTATTTTAAAATTCGAAAGGGGCTCCACTTCCATGTAAAAAATTTATTCGTACGTAATGTCAGCGACAAAGCTATAACTAGAGTTGTACCCCGACCCCGTACCCCGAACCCCGACCCCGTTCCCGAACGATTTTTTCACGATTCTCCCCGACCCGAACCCCGCCCCGAAAAAAAGTGAAAACCCCGTTCCCCGGCCCAAAAAGTTTCGGGGTTACGGGGTTTTATACCCCTAAAAAATGTCATTTTTTGGAGAAATTAATGAAGAAAATTTAAAAAATTTCCATACATTTTACTTTGCTTTTATTATTTTTGAAAGAAAAATGAATGAAATATCATAATTTTCTTTCCTTCTTTATTAAGAGACTTGTGGTTGAGTGGCTTAGTCATTGGTTTTAGCCGATATTTCATTAATATAGGATTGGGTTCGGATCCATATAAGGATAACTCTGTTGTTTGTATATTTTTTCACAAAAACAAATTATTAACGAGTTAAATTTTAATTTGAAAATATTAATTTTATTTTTAACTGATATCCCTTGAACCACCCTTAATCCTTCAAACCCTCTGTATCACCAGTTCTCAACCATCAGTTGGAAAACTATCGAGGTCATGTTAATGGGAATCAGAGATATAAAGGGATTTGTAGGATATCGAAGAATTAAGGAGTTTTAAAGGGATATAAGGTGGGAGATTTAAGGAATAATCGAAGATTCTCCTGATATCCGTCCAAATACCCTTATCCGCAATACATCAATATTCTTATAAATCACTAATATCCCTTGAACCAACAAAAATCACTCCAGATCACCTTGTATCCCTAGATATACCATTTAATCCCTAAAAATCCCACTTAATCCCTCCAGATCCACTTATATCCCAAGTTATACGCTTTAATCCCTTCAAATCCCCTCTAATTTCTTCAAAACCTACTTAATTTTTGAATAAATCAACGAAAATATATCGATTTCTAAATATTTTTGAGCATTTTTTCTCTAAAAATTTTTCCACTAAACCCCCGTACCCCGACCCGAACCCCGGCCATATTTTGCTCCCCCGACCCGAACCCCGCCCCGAAACAATTGGAAAACCCCGTACCCCGACATACCCGCCCCCGAACGTTCGGGGTACAACCCTAGCTATAACCTAATTATATTCATTCTTTAAGTGAAAAAACCGAAGAATTGCCCGACTGTCAACAATAAAAATTGTTTAGCTAGTTGAGAGTTAATGCAATCTCTTCTCTCTATTTATTTTTCTTTCAATATCGACAAGGTTAAGGAAATTATTGCCGTATGAGTCTCATCCTTTAAACTTAAAAGGGAGGCAGCTGGACCTCCCCACTCCAAAAATTCCTGAAAATTGCACATTGTGGGGTCAACTGAGTCGTGGGATTAATTGGATAAACTCACATAGAAATATTTTATGGGGAGGAAGTGGCAGACATAGAGGAATTGAAATAGTGCCCTCATTCTCCTTAGATTTCTTTCCCTGTGTATAACAACCAAATAATTAGAGTATTTATTCAAGCCAATACATATGAAATAAAAAATTAAAAATAATATATTATGTAATTTTCCCATCAAATTAAATTTAGAATTAAATCTGAATTAACTCTCCCAACATTTATTCATTTTAAGCCTTTAAGGAACGTCCACCCATAGTTTCCTCAGCAGCCTTCTTGCGTTTGTACTCTTCTGGATGCCTTAAAATGGGAAAATAGAAATTTTTAACAACTATTTTCTCTCACAATTTCCACCAAAACATGTCACTCCAATGACGGCAATTATTAAAATGCCGGCTAAACTTGTCTCGATCCCACATATCCGCATAAATACGTTGAATAGCTTCATAAGCATGCTCCTCTGAGCAAATACGGTCTTCTGGAATACCCACAGGGGTATGACAATAATCTGCGTAGTGGCTAAATTTGAAGGGGTATTTGTTTAAGAAGGATATTTCGGGACTTACCCAAAGCTTTGGGTCTTGCCTTTCTCCTCATTAATCATTTCATAGGTGCAGTGAAAGTTTGAATTACACTTTTTGCATTTAAATAGAACCTAAATAAGGGTAAAAGTATTTTGTAATTCTCAAAAGTATTTTTAATTCGCAAAAGAAGTGATCGGGATTTTGTACGTCCGTAGTACCGAAAAATAACGATAAATACCGATGGGCTTCAAAAGGTTCTTGTTAACTATGTGGTCCAAAACTCCACGTTGTCCTCAAGTTAACTTAGGGAAAAAACGGGGATATAACTTGCGGTCTAATTTTGCGGACAAGATTTGCGGATTAAAAGAACCCTTCAAAATTTTACGGTACCATATCCCTACAGTACTACAATACGAAATTTTGATAAATACCGAAAAATACGGTAGTTAGTACGGTATGATCCGATCACTAATCACAAAAAAGTATTCACTTGAATAGCCTCATGAGGTCCTTCATCATGCAAATCATCCGGCCCTGGGGACAGCACTTCACCATCAACTGCTTCCTCTCGCAAATTCACAGAAAATATTCCGGCAATAGGTCGCCACAAATTAATAGAACGTCGTCGGACGGGAGGAGCACCAGCACCGCCCTCAACAGGAATTTCGAGTTCATTCGCTGAAAATTTTTTTTAAATTGAAGGGAGGAAGCGTCCTCCCCGCTCCAAAAATTCCTGAAAGTTTGACATCCCGGGGGTACTTTGAAGATTAACTGTGCTCTAGAGAACGCTAACTGAAAGCCTCTAAGAAAGTTTTTTCTAATGTGCAAATAGCAGACATAGACAAAAATATTAAATAGTGCTCCCTTCCTTTTCTCTTTTTCACTAGAACAAGAGGAAATTTGTTTAAAAGAAAGAAAATGTAAAATATATATTATGTAAAATACATTATGCCCAGCCCACTTTGCCCAAATTATTTGGATAAGGATATTTAAGAGCTGCTGTGAAATTTTGGTTTTCGAGGGGTTTTCTTTCGATTTCGACAAAAAATTTATTTTCGAATTTCGAGGATTTTTTGTTTCGAACAGCTCATGTCAGATAAGTAAAATCTCTTACTTATCCCAGTCTTTTCTTTTAGTTAGTTTTCGGAGTGACGTATCTGATAGGGGCGAATCCGGGCATTCGTAAATTTTCAGTTCGGATATCGGATCAGGATGTCTGGTGATTTGCTAGGGTCCGCGGACATCGGCGATCCTAGGAAAAATTAAAAGGAGGATTCACTCCTCCCATCCCAAAAATTCCTGAAAGACGCCGAACGGGAGAAGTACCTCAAACCATTCTATCATATGTATATCAATGGGTGTATTCTCATTTCGGTTACGGTTATCCCACTGAAACCCCTTCAAAATCATTAAACCAACCCTTTCCGCCCCCAAATTTAATAGCTACACGCTCAACATGAGTAGCAATCCAATTCTGAGCTCCACACTTGCAGGGTTTACTTTCTACCCAACATGCTGGATTAGCAACACAGTCGTCTGTGCCCATTATTTTTTTAAATTTTAAATTAAAATTTTGGAGGAAAATAAATCTAAAAATTAAAAATCAAATTGAAAATACAGTTTACTCCTTATTAATCATTATAAAATCGAATTTTTTTTCAAAAGTTTTACCATCTTGAGCCTCTATAACCATGGGTTTCTGACAATTTTAAAGGATGTTCCCACGGACTCAGGGATGATTCTTCGGACTGATATTGATGTCAGTCGACAGATCAACGAGCTATATCGGTCTAAAATTTAGTAACCATTTTGCATATCTTAAAAATGACGGGAAAGGGACGACAATAGTACCCATAATACAGTCGTTCTAACACCGAGTGAAGACTGTAAGGTCTTACAAGAATTGAGATCTCGAAAAAATCCTGATTCTTGAAGAGGATGTTTCTTCGGACTGATATTGTTGTCTCTCGAGAACCCCTCTCGAAATCCCAAAAAATTTGTACGAGAATCTAGATCTCGACAACCGAAATTTCCGATCGAGATCTCGCCTCGGCCCGATCTTTAGTTCTAACACTCAGGGCTGGGTAAATATGGTCATAGACCCATGTGGGGGGGGGGGGCTATTATCAAATAATCTTTGGAGTATTTTAAAGGATTAATGAAATAAATAGAACACATTTCTTCTACTAAAATACTCCTACTTTTTGAATCATTTTTAAAGCTAACAATCGATCAATCATCCAAAATCAGTCCCTAAATTGATGCAAAAAATGTTCAAAAAATAGAAAAAATATTTTTTTTAAAAATTAAATTCCAAGCAAAAAAATTTCAAAAAAAAACATGTCAAGTTAAAAATAAATTTTTGTGTTCCGCCAATTGGTTTCTGGAAAATAAAAACGAATTTAAACAAGTCTGACAATGAGAGAGGAATAAAAGTATGACCAGAAAGATAAATGATGCTAAAAAGAAAAATTCCGCCTGACAAATATATTCATTTTAAAAAATTAAATTGACGTCAGTTGGTGAAAAAATATTTTTAAATAGGTGGGAAGGAATTGAGGAATTAGAAAAAATTTTAGTACAATTCTGGAAAAAATTAGGCCCATATATTTACATGAAGTCGAGATCCTGATCAAGGTTGGACGCATTTGCGGATTGCGGACTGTGTAAATTGCTTGGGTTTTTAACTTGCGGACTGTGTATAGAGGATTTAAAATTTACGATTTGCTTTCAGTTGCGTCCAGTCCTGATCCGGAAACCTTGAAAATCAACGTAAAGCAGGGGTAAGGCTATTCAAAAGATATTTTCGAATCCTTTTAGATGAATTTAAGATTTAATTTTGGGCTTATTCGGAAGCTATTGAAATTTTCTACAAGATAGAGATAATATGATTTTTATTAAATAAGTCACTAGAGAGATATAAAGATTTAGGCCGTTAATCTTCCGAAGCAACCTTAAGGTGCATATTCAAATCAGAGCTGCGTGAATGTATAAACTATGTATATATAAACTAAGACATGGATTTATATTTTTATTGTTCTTGGTACCATTGGATGTAAAATTAAACCATTTACATTTTTTTTAAACCATCTCTCATAAGTTTCTTATGAGAGATCTCCAGAACCAACTTTAAGGTACATATTTAAATCAGAGCGAGACTAGTGCGAGACTCGGCTGAGATGTACTCCCACTTCTAATTTGCTTTTACATCAATTTTTAAATTAAGCTCAAAACATGTTTTTAAAATTGAAATAAAAACAATTTAATAATCTTTAATCTATTCTAAAACAAAAAATATATATTAAGTAAAAACACATTTTGTTCAAAATAAAAATATTTTTCTATTATTTAGTTAAGCCAGATTTACTTAAATACTCTTTTATAAAGCACATGGGGGAGTATGCTTTACACCTTGAGGTGAACCTTGAGTTGGGAACTAATAAAAAATAAAAAGGATTGAAAGGATTGAAAGGACACATGTGAGGGATTTTTCTTTTAAAAAAAGAACTCACAAGACAGCCAAAAATAAATTAAAAATAGTAAAAAAAATTTTTTCTTGAAATGAGTGTTCTCTGGTTTTTGATAAATTGATTTTAAATTTTTAAAATCCTCTGAAGGGCTAAAATTTAAAATAATTTTATTCCTAACAGTCAAATGGAGGCTTTAAAATGCTAATTTTAATGTCCAAATTGCTCGATGTGTATCCACATACAGCAAGAATAGAGACGGGCCGGGAGGAGTCTTACGAGAAACGTGATTGATATCTCGAAAAATCACGACTCTCGCTAATCATAATTCTTGTTCAAGATCTCTCAGGTCCGATTTCTAAATATATCAAATAACACAAAATTCGTTGAGATATGAAAATTCTGATTAAATGTAGATTCGAAATGTATATGAGTGCTGGGTATTGGGCGTTTTGTGCCTCCGGCTCGGACCTTTTCAAATCTCAACTTCACTCCGGGGGTTTTGGAAGCATTCTGTAACCGGACTTCGGCTTATAATCAATTTACGATACATGTTGGCCATGTCTCCGGCTCCTGAGCAAGCTCACGGAATGACTCCCTGAGCTGGCTCAGGAGCTGGAGACATGGCAACATACCCAGCATTGGTGTACACCCAAAGGGAAGAGGATTTGATAATTAAATAGCTCATGGAGTCAGACCGACCATAAATGTACAACTAAAGCGGAGGGATAAGCTCAAAAATAATTAAACGATGATTAAAAATTTTAAAATATATATTAAATTATTTGCTATAAGAATATTCCAAAAATAATTTCAAAATAATTAAACAAACAAAAAATTTGGGAAAATTGATTTGTGTAAATAGAAAAATCCAAACTTTAAAAATAAATCAAAACAAAGAAAAATGTGGCGATATTTGTTACGTAGGCGTAAAGGGATATCATATATCTTAAGTTAACTTATTTTTGCTGTTTTTCATTGAGGAGTAGGGTATTAAAAATTAAATGTAAATAGAAAGATATATGTAGGTAAAGAGTGTTTCCGAAGGAAATGAATTCAAACTAGGGTAGCTCCCCGTTTCCCGAAACCTTGACCCGACCCCCGAGGAATTTTTTGGCATAAACCCCGACCCAAACCCTGAAGGCTCTACCCAGACAAACCCCGAAACCCAACACTCCTGCCCTCCACCCGAAACCCGACACTCCTGCCCCCGAAGTCTCGTGGTGCTACCCTAATTCAAACGCCTGAAAGTTTCCATATATCAAAGAATACTCATTGATTTCTGGCATTTGAACTCATGGAAAAGTTATTGAAAATAGATCGGGACCAAAGTTTTAGATACAGTTTTTAATTTGCTTTTGAATGAGCTATAGAAGCACTAGATGGCTTAACATCTCATCGAGATACAGTCCTTTGAGTGAACCTACTGAAAATAACTCTTACTTAGTCCGGTCCAATATCTAGTTTATCGCTTTTCATCGCTAACACCTCTTTAAATAGCCCCATACTAAATAAACTGCCATTTAAAGGCCAATATTTTAAGTCATCGAAACTTTTGGGAAAACCATTGGAACGAACTCGACCCAAAATTTTATGTATAGTTTTAATGCCCTATTTTTAAGAAACCTTTATCCTATTTAAAAATCCGTTTTTTGCACTTTAAACTTAGTTAAACGAGCGACAGCCGACAAGAGACTGTTCAAAATACAAACTATTATACATATACATCATAACACAAGCGGTAATTTACAAAGGAATAAATAAAAAATTGCACTTTTAGCGGGAAATTAAAGTCGATAAGTAAAGGGGATATAGGGAGGATAGATGGAAGGATGTAGAGAGGGGGTATTGAGAGGGAATATGAGGAGGGATATAAGGAGGGATGTAGGAAGGAGATGTATAGGGGGAGGGGGGGGATAGATGGAAGGATGTAGAGAGGGATATAGGGGGGATATAAAGATAAGGAGGGATGAAGAGAGGGATTTAGGGAAGCATATATGGAGGGATAGAGAGGGATATAGGGAGGGATAGACAGAAAGATGTAGAGAGAGGATATAAAGATGGGGATAAGGAGGGATATAGGGATGAGAAGTATAGGGAGGGGGATATAGAGAGGGATAGAAGGAAGGATGTAGAGAAGGATATAGGGAGGGGAATATAAAGATAAGGAGAGATGAAGAAAGGGATTTAGGGAAGCATATATGGAGGGATAGAGAGGGATAAAGGGAGGGGATGTATAGAGAGAAATGGAGAGGGATATAGGGAGGTATATAGGGAGGGATAAAAAGAAAAAAATTGGACGTCGAGGAGGGGTGAGGAGAAGAGGGGATGGGGAGGGAGCGGAGGTAGCGGAGGGATGGGGGAGGGGTGTAATCAATTCTTATCGACGTTAAGACGTGTATATAATTTTTATTGGGCATTCATTGCTTGTGAGACTTAAAAAATTTTTAAACAGTTAAATTGTTGTGAAATTATAAATTAAAATTTAGCTAAACAATTTTAAAACCTAAAAACATGTAGAATCCTGAAGCATTCTATAACCTTTAAATATTCGGATATAATAGAATACACCTCAATTAAGCACAGTCAAATTCCGTTATAACGAACTCTGTGTGACTGAAGAGCAGAGGTCGATCGGAATGCGAGTTCCGACGTTTTTCCCATCCGATTTCCGAAATTTTGGAAATTTTTCCAATTTCCGATAGTTCCGAGTTCCGGCACAATTGTCATTTCCGACCGATCTCTGCTGAAGATTTGAAAATTCCTAGTCTGGGACCGGTAAAAAGGAACGTTACATATTTCGAGATGCTAAATTGGGGGTCATTAATGGAGGTTTCGACTGTATATTTCAAAAGTACCGGAGCTGTCTAAGCTGATATCTCTTAAGATACCTCATAGGATCTCTTAAAATACACTCATAAGGGGTAAACTCACAAAATTTTTTAGGCTAAAATGTACATATATCTTTTTAGTGAGATTTTATCCAAATGAAGTTTGTGATTTCAAAATCCGCATTTTTGTTCATAATAAAAAATTTTATTTTTAAATTTTATAACAGATGGGGTTCAAAACAATTTATTTATTTAATTTACCCATTTTATTTTTAATTTTTCAATTTTCAAATCAAAATGATCAAAATATTTTACAACTAACACTTCGAATAGTAGAAGATTGGGGTAACCAGAGACAATTTGCCTATATAAACTTCCTTAGAGCTTATAACCGCTTTTATTGCACTCTTAAAGTTCAAGATTCTAAAGGAAAGGAAGAGGTGATTAAAGGAACGAGAAAACAATTGTCATTAATTGGACCCAATTTTGATGATTTTTTATTTAATATTCCAAGTGATAAATTGGAGGAGAAGAATATAAAGATAATTATTGAATTGGAGAAAAACCCATTTATGAATGATGTTTTGGAAAATGGAAATGAATTGTTGAAAAAACAGGTGAATAGATAGATAGTAAAAAACGTCCCTTATCCATGAGTAGGGTTGAGAGCCCTGTCCGGTCCGAAAGACTCGAAACCCCTACCCTATTCATGAGTCTTGCTTCAAGACTTTTATTGGGGGTTTCTTCGATCTTGGAGACC